TTCGAGAATCTGCCCCCCCAAATCCCTCACCCAAATTTTAAATGGTTCATCCTTACTTGTTTTTTCCACATTTTACCCATTCTTCACAAACTTTCTTTCTTTCTTCAACAGATAATGAGTAAGCTTCTCCTGTTGTACCAGTTACTGAAAATAAGAATTAATCACTTAGTACTTTTGCCTGTAAGTGTTTATCTACAGTATTTGGTGTAATAGAAAACACTACGCAGCATGTGAAGACTGAAATTAGTTAATCTTCATTATTTCCACATTATTGTTCTCAGTAATCCAATAGCATAAATCCACAAATGATAGGTTACAATAAATATTAATTGAATACGTCGTCTTTAATAATTGCAAGAATCACATACATGTTATTTGCCAACGGTTATATGTAAAGATTAGGTCTGGTAATTATTAGTGAAATGCTTTCACTTTAACACAAATTCAAAACATTGTTTAACTAACAATTTTTCAGGGTCCAATTAAGACTGTATTGAGGGTGTTGCATATAAACACATTCAAAGCAGCTAACAGTTATCATCGCCAAAGTTTCACTGGATTTTGAAATCCAAATGATCGTGGCATTTAAATTCAGTTTGTCATATGTAATGATGAACTTTGACCTACCGTAAACATTTTTCACGCCATCGCTTATAAGTTTATCAACATATGCTCCAATCATACTCAGATCCAAAGATTTTCTGAATGTAAAAATATTTCATATAATGTACATACATGAAAATGACACTTTTTTAAAAAAATGTATAAATAAAAAAAGGACGATACAATAAAAAAAGAAAAAGGAAAGCACAACTAAAAACACCAAATAGTGAAGCATATGGAGTTTAAAATTCCAAATAAGATTTAAATTCCAAATAAGGAGATTTAAATTCCAAATAAGGAGATTTAAATTCCAAATAAGGAGTTTACATTCTAAATAAGGAGATTTAAATTCCAAATAAGGAGTTTTTAACTTTCAAAATAAGAAGATTTAAATTCCAAATAATTATAAGAAGTTTTACATTTCAAATAAGGAGATTTAAATTTCAAATAAGGAGATATAAATTCCAAATAAGGAGTTTTACATTCCAAATAAAAAGATTTAAATTTCAAATAAGAAGATATAAATTCCAAATAAGGTGTTTTACATTCCAAATAAGGAGATTAAAATTCCAAGTAAGGGTTTTTGAATGAAGTTTTTGATCATTCTAATACTCTAACTAATTGTGACTTTGATGTAAATTTTAAGTGCAATTTTGAAATATACAAAATATTAAAACATAAATAACCTACCCATTTTTTGTAAAAGGTGTTGACGGAGCCGCTATAAGGCCTTTTAGTTTAATCCATGGTACAGTCTTCAAATTAAAGAGAAAAGAAGAAATCTAAAAATTCAGAAACACTGCAATGTTTATGTATTATTGTGATACAGCAAACTCTGCAGTCTGTAATAATAGTTGCGTTCACCACAGCTTCTTAGCATGGATGTGCACAATCACTTTATATACTGGCTAAAAAAATGCTAAGTACGGATTTAAGTGCCCCCTTGTAAAACACCATTGAATTCAATGTCCTTTTGAAAGGTTTACTATTACATTCAAAACTATTTATTTTAAACATGAAAATCATTGTTTTTGAAACAAAAATGAGACTCTGTACTACTTAATTCCTTTTATTCTGCAATGTGTGCACTTTCTGAATTTACTTTCGTATTGTTTTATAACCATATAGAATAACATGTATACCTTCCTAGTTACTGTACTGATTAATTATCATAGTCAACTAAAAATTTGTATATTTCGTAAGTTTGGCCATACCATTTGTATATTTCGTAAGTTTGGCCATACCATAGCCTGTGCTAACTGCCATTTCGTCCTGTGAGTGAACACACCGGGTTTAAATTTCTCTGATTTACCATTTCAGGCATATTCATGTGTTATATGCTAAATTTTACATATTCACTGGGTTTTAATTTGGCGATTTTCCAGTCAGCAAAATGAGCAAAATCAAAACCCAGTGAACAATTAACCCCTTTTACAGTACACATATGCCGGAATGGTTTTGTCTGATTACGACTAATGGCAGACAGAATGTAATCCAGAATTGAAGTTCAAGTACATATAAAGGATTGTGTTCTTTGCTGGCATGTTCTTAATATAGAATTCAATACCAAGGTGATAACATAGACCCTAAAAGAAAGGTGATACAGCACAACAAGAACATAGTGAGTTTTCCTTACCTTCCCGACCTTTGACATGATTCTTGTCGGGTAAGTGACACTGACAAATCAGAGCTGAAGAATAAAAATGAGATGCCAATATTAGTAAATACTTGAAAGGTATAAACCAAATTTCATCACGGAAACATAGGCTTTTTTCACACTGTGACTTTATTTGATTACATACATTTCTATTTTCATCAACCAGTATGCAAATGTCAAAAACAAATATCGCTCACTGATCAGAATGAAGCTCACGTTATGCGATGACAACATTTCCCGTAAGTTGTTTTCTTACAAAGAAACACATTATAACATTATTATAACAGCAGTAGCTAGCTAGTACACCCTTATTATTTATTGAATGCGAATAATCAGTTACGGCCAAACATTCACTGCACGTACTTACGAGATATGAACAAGTTTGACATCATACAATCCGAGAAGTATTGATATTACAGGGATATACACTAGCAACGAATTATACAGAGGTACATTACTTGGGGTTTGCAACTACGGTGACATGATACCAAGATCCCGTTTCAATCTCGCTCTCGCATAAGCGTTCCAACTCAGAAAAATGCAAATGCGTATGCCCGAGGTAACTAGGATACTGGGATGTCCAGGTGGATCAAAATAGCTGCTCACGATATGACGGATTACGATATTTTCTGTACATTTTCGATGTATTACATTTTTTCACTATGAATGTGGTAATACATGTTTTATTGTTTTATTACAAACCACCTATGTCATGTCAGAAGGTCGTAGCATCAGTCTCGCTATCTACGAGGCGAGACTTGAATGAGATCTTGGCATGATGTCACCATACAGTACTATGCGCGTTGCAAACCCCAAGTAATGTACCTCTGATCATACTTATGAATTACTTGTGTATATTGACATTGTTTACAATTTTATTTATTGTTTAGACCATTATACTCAAATATTGATATTATATTTTCTCAAAATTAACGTTAAATCTGTATTAGAAGTCGCATCCCTAATAGAAGCCACACCAATTTTTTGAGACCCAAAAATTAACCAATTCTCATATGTGTAGATGCTCTAATAGAAACCGCATCCCCTCTGTTGCATTGTACCATTTTAATAGAAGCCGCTGCCTTTAATACAGATTATACAGTAATCCCACAAATTGCCATAGCATGCATTGTGTGTAATCAAAAACTTTCACACGCAGGCCAAAGAATTACAATTTTGAAATGTATATAACACGAATACTTGTCTCCATAACAGTTACTGTTCATTTTTATATTTGTTTATAAATGGCAAGCTACGTTTAATGCATTCAATTATGAAATAATAAAGAAGCTGAGCGGTTGTGTAGCATTTTATTTATAATATACAGTTCCTTGTTTAGATTTGAATGAAAAACAAATATTACTATTTGTTAATTGCTAATCAAATGAAAGTACACCGAATTAGAAACAGTAGTGATTGGACTAAAGAAAAAAAAATTGTTTTTGAGTCTGAGGTGTTTAAAAGATACAGGGAAAAGACGAAAAAAAATTGCTTTGTAATTAAGATTCTATAAAGATTACTAAGCATGCTACTTTAAAGGGTGGCAGTCGTCGTGCCACGTCCTGTTCGATATGGGACTCATAGCGACGTATACAACACGTGTAAAATACATTGTTTATTTACATGAAATGTGAACACGCACTGCACGCCAACCACCGTGCTTTAACAAACTATACATCATCTGAAAGCTTCGATATAAGTGAATAGGGTTGTGCATATGCCATTGTCTAAGGGATTACCTGACGGCCAATTCTGCTATTGTGCTTTGTTAAATTTGACTATACCGACTACTGAAAACAGTTTTTTAACACATGAATGACCACCGAATTGCATAGAAATTTCATAATGCTGTAGGCAAGACAAGTCTCATTTCTCTCTGTAGTAGATTTCAATGTTGAATAAAATAAATTATTATTATTATATTTTTTCTCTTTATACAAATGTGTCTGTCTTTGTTTTTTCTATGATTAACTACAGACATTTGAATGCGTTAGAACGTCCAACGTCAAAACAAAGTACATGTATCTGTTGTATGTGTTTATAAATATTTATGTTAAAGCGGGGGAGTCTTCACCTGCGCATGCGTCAGGTGTCATTGTTTACAAACAAGTGTCTACCCATGAGCCTTTGCGTTTTTACCTTGCGTTGTTATCGTCGTTTGAGACTCAATTCTCATGCGCAGGTGACGACCCTCTCGCTTTAATTTATAACAAAAATATCCAGGTCTTAGCTGACTTCTGTGGATTAGCTATCTGTGTCTATTTTTATTTTAAATATAAACATATATGTACCAAAGATTTTATACGATGAGGGTAGGCAAGTGATATGGTATGCATGTACTGTATGTCAAATAAATTGAAGACCCACAAAAAATTATAGAGCTTTTATTCATCCCTGATTGCTTTGCTTATGACCTTGTTTATTCACCACAAGTGTATTAATTTCGTTTTTTGAATACGGCAATAATCTCACTCAGTTCTGTGTCCCTAATGGTGAGAAATATATAAATATAAATACATAATTTGCAGACACTCATTTTTAAAAAATCTCAGATGTTACTTAAGGTAGAAGGCTCATAATTTTTAGATAGTCGCATGACAGTGTTCATTGGTTTATTGTGTAAAATCATGAAGCTATTGTCTTACACAGTGAAATAGCATTCTTTTGTGTAATACAGTGATGTTTTTGGGGAAACTGGTCCTAGTATTTTTCAAAAATGTTAAACAAAACTTTTTAAAACCCAGATGTTGAAAATAATTCAGGAAAACAAAAATTACCCCATCATTAACAATATATTATTTTTTCAGCCTATGTCACCAGCCTACAATTTGAGATATGGCATAATATCTCTGTCATAGTAACCTATGGTAAAAGCTCTATAATACTGCCAAAATGACCACTATATATCCACTAAAATAAAACCATCATTTTCTTGAAAATTAAGCTGGTGACCACCAACTTTTTTTAAGTCAATATTTTTATATTGCCCAGAAATACAATTTATTAAAACACAAATAAATTCTGGGTATTTGAAATCATGAGTAGGCTTCTACCTTAAATGGCAGTGGTTGTCGCGCTGCGTCTTTTCGATATGGGACTCACAGCGATGTACACAACGTGTGTAAAATACATCGTTTATTTACATGAAATTCGAACACGCGCTGTGCAGCGACGACTGCCCTATCTATATACAAATGCTATAGATAACAAAGAGGTTTTGGAAAATCTATGTCTAAAAATATAAAACAAAACTCATATTTCAAATATCTCTGATCATATACTCCATCACGGTTACTAAAAAAAGATGTACGTGGTATCATGGCTCCTCATTAAAATTTTCGCCTGGCTAAAATATAAACACTTGTATGGTTTCTTTGACGTCTTTTTTTCTGATCATGTTTTGTTGGTTTTTTTATTTCAGTTTTCTGCCGATCTTGTTATTTAGAAACAAAAATGCCATACACGACAGGCAAATTTGTTTTGAGTTTAAACCGAGCGACAGGTTTTGTCAGTATTCACTGGAACAACTTACACTTTAGTATTACTGAAAGTATCGACAGAGACACAATAAAATGGCGTGCAGTTGTTGATTGCAATGAACTCTGAGAAAAATGACGTCATATTTGCGTGATTTCCTGTCTACATTTTATGTTAAAGGGGAACCGCTCAATCCCTTGGATTGCACCAAAGAATCATGGGACACTATTGTTTATGTTGTTTACAATGTTAATCTATCTTTTGTTATCCATTGTTATTTTAATCCAGAAAGTAAATTTGTTGTGAAATTAAGCTTCACTGGAAGGTGCCCCTTTAATGATTTATCACAGATTAGTACGTCTTTTGTTTCAAATGTTTACCCGCGACACGCATCCAATGAAAAGAACATGATTCGTTTCCTAACCGTTTTTTTTTTAGTAACCGTGACTCCATGTTAAAGCGCGGTAGTCGTCACGCTGCGCATGTGCGAGATATATGGGTCTCATATAAACAAAGATGGCGACTTTGACTGTTGCGCAGATCAACGAGTACGAACTGACACGTTTCCAAGCTTTAATTAGGTAATTTTCATGTGATTGGAAGGTATCGAAGGAGTCACCGGCGGTAATCAGTGCAAGTGGCACCCAGGTCAAACCTCAAAATTCATCCCATCCATCATTTCCAATGGCCAAACCCTTAATTCTTTATTAAATTGGTTTGAAGCTAGTATGTGACAAACAGGATGGAATGAAGAAGCAACACTTCAAATTAGTATGTATACACATTGGCCCGAACTTTTACGGTAACCGCCCACCCATGGCATGACTCGACTGAAACCTAAACTCGGCACAACCATAGATCACTTCCGTTGTTGTCCTGATTTGTGTACAATTGGTAGTGAACAACTACAACTGTATCGTGTAATGTGTTCATGTGTGTGATAATTACTATACAAAATTGTAAAGAGATTGACTGTCGACGCTTACCTGCGTGTATGAGATCACACCGTGTGTAGACTGGTCAAGTGCGGGGGACAGATGGAGATGGTTGAACTATGAACTCTGGCCTGTTAGGTATTGTTTAAAAACCTTTAAAGATAGATCAATACCACAGTCAGCTGGCATAGGTGTCGCTGGGGAATACGAGAGAAGTCGGCCAATCGCCAAGTCGGCCTGCAGGAGAAGTCGGCCAGTCACCAAGTCGGCCGGGCGGAGAAGTCGGCCACTTCAACTCTACTAATAGGCAGGGAGACTGTACAAATCTATGTTCGTAAGCTACAGAGCAAATTGCTGAGTTCATATAGGCTACCTACTATAATAGTACAACCACTGCATGTAGGGCTGTTGGGTACCAGGCGACCCCTACATCACAGCATTCGACAAGCAAAAATATTGACCATTCGCCGATACATGGCAGTTTTGGGACTCATTCAGGGTGATCGCATTGAAATACTTATTAGAAACTTTTGACAGATATTTGTTACTCATACGTTATCATTGGATCTTCATTTTTTTAAAACGAAATCTTGCAGTGACACACATGTGTGCCATGAATAATAAACAATGCGAACCTGTAGTTGAGAGAACGTGCCGGCGGCCATATTGTTACGTGGATAGCCTGGCTTTACCACCCTTTTCACGGGGGTGGCAATGTGTCGGTGCATGGTGATTACTAGAACAATGTTTGATTTTCTCTTTCAGTAAAACCTTATGGCAAAACGGAAGTTCAGTGAGGGAAGATTACCTGTAAGGTCATAGTTATTTAGCCAGAAAGAACTAATTATGTTTTGTGCATAAAATATAAGTCTTTTCGTTTTGCACAGAATACATAACAATGACAATGATTTATCTAAAAGGAACAAATAATGTCGTGTTTAATCACAACTATACTCATTGTCTAAACTGTTAATATTTGAACTTGCCGAGGGTGCGAAAGTGTGAAGTTATGCATCACAATGGAAGTGCTTGAACTGCGTATTTGAACTGCTACCCGTGATGTGCGCTACTTTCATAGTTGTTGTGTAAGTTCACGTCAACTCGACTGTTTGAACTGCCGTATGATTTTATAAAATGATGTACATTAGAAAACGTCATTTGTTGCCATTTATTATACACATAAATTATATTCATTATATTCATTATATTCATTATAACGTGAACAAAAAAAATGTATTTGCCGTCTTCGTTACGTATAATGTACGTTTAATCATGGAGCTATTTTTTAGATCCATGATTTAATAAATGGCAACTAACAACGTTTTCTCAGTACATGTACGGTGTTTCATAAAATAGATGTATTTTTCTTCCAAAATGTTAAGCGATTATTGCTGGATTACAATGCTTTGTCTTAGCTACTACATCCAAACAAGTGATATGAACTTACAGTCATCTCGCCGCCAACTGACACATCATGTGGAAATGGAGGGACGTTGGCTTGAGTCTAGACTACGGATCACAGATACTTATTTATTTCTGTTTTTTACGGATGTTGGATGACAATTATTTATAAAATCAAACTGGAAACATTTTAAAGTCAAGCATTCCATAGTTTATTTCCAAACAGTAAAAATACATCACATAAAAGTAGCCCAGTTCCGTTGCCAGAAAATGGCAATAAAAAAACTAGAGACGTTTCAAAGTGATAGAATTATTCAAAATAGTTTATTTTAATAGAACAACGAAAAATATATAACATAAACGTAACTGATATTACAACAAAAATCTAAATAGTCAAACCTGAAATACACATTACATATTATAAATGCTAATGGAATTTCGATAAGATATATAACATAGACGTAGAGAAATTTATAGTCAGCATTTAAGTTATTTAAAACATGAAAAGTAC